AGCCCCTCGGCCACTAAGGTAGTTTACAAAATTTTGTAAAAAATGTTTTGATTCATGTAAAATTTTGCTTCCACTTCACAATTGTATACCACTTTGTGTTGGTCTTTCACATTAAATTCCAGTGAAATATATTATGTTTGTGGTTGTAATGTGACAAAATATGGAAAAGTTCAAGGGGTATGAATACTTTTGCAAACCACTGTATTTTCATGAGATTGATGTGCATCCCTCATTGAAACTATACCATTTTTTGACATGACTCGGTAAATAGTAATAGCTCCTATGGTGGCGCGTCGCTAACCATAGTGGTTATAGGCGATGTCCAACACAGTAATACAGATCAATGCTGGTAACATAGGTACTGAGGTAGATAAGCACTGGAAAACATGAGTATCACAGGACATAGGTACCAGGGAACATAGATGACCCCCTTCTCATAGACTACATACCCATATTTCGGACCTGCATATTAATTTATCTGAAAAACTACTGGAGTAAATAAACTCTTTCAAACTGCACCATTTGAAGTAGTTCAGGATAACCTTTTATGTTTGATTTTATGCTCTGGGATGAGTTCCTTTAAACCTACGCAGATCAGTTCTGTTGATACTTCTCTTCTGTTTTGTTCTTCGAGCCGAGATAAGACGATGATCTAAAATGATAAAAGAAGCTTTTGGGTCTAAAAGCACCAAAATACCTGTCTTTAAAGTAAACACATTTCACACCAGAGAGTGCAGCTTGCAGATTCTCTTCAGGTCATATCCTTAATCTAATTTTATTTTATTAGCAGCACGCATTACCAAGGTAACAATCTCCCCGGTTTGATCCATAAAATGACTCCTGTCAGGTAGGAAAAATACTTGTATTGCCGAGAAAGTTGCAAGTTTACAGAAGCTCCCTGCCAATAAATCTTTACTGCCAGAGTTCTGAGTCACCTTGTGCAACAATCGACAATTTTTGTGTCATTATCTGAGAAAAAAATCTGCATATAAATGAATTATCTTTTCACGCTCCGATTAGCTGCACTGGCCAAGCGTGCCCAAACACAATGAGCAGCTGAGACGCAGCGTGATGAAAACCACATCAAGAGCGCTCGTCACAATAAAAACCATTCAGCAAAACTGCAACGGCACAAACTCGTTTCAGTTTACAAAAGAGATTCTCCACAAAAACCTGAAACAGCAGTGGGGGAAATTACGATTTTGAGTTGGTAAGAAAAAAGCAAAGTGGCAATTTTAGGTTTCTAATTCGTATTTTTCGGCTTGGAGACACTAAAGCAGCGTAGACCAGTTAGTCTATCAGCGTCATCACTCATCAGCCTTAATGATGGTTCATTGAGACACCTGAGAGTTCAGTCGGCTGGCTTATTAACAACCGAACCAGTGCAAACACACATCCACGGCCTTTTATACACGGGGGGAGCGAGATGACTCAGACACACACAAGTGTGCTGTGTTGGGGGGGGGCCACGGGCGGTGAGCAATTTCCAGGACCAACAGGATTATCAGTGTATGTTCTGGAAGATGGCAGGAAATCAGCCTTCAAGTTATGAAAACAGTTAGCGTTAATTGGTCTTCATCTGTCACCTCAAACAGAGCTGAAGACGGCTTGAAACCAAGAAGGGGGGGGGGGGGGATTACTGACGGGACAGTGATGAAAATTGGTGGCAAGATAATGAGTCTCGTTGTCGTTTCATCCTCTCATTCTGCGTGTCTCATTATTCAGAGTAACTGGTTGGAGAGAGGCTTCACAGTCTGCTGCTTATTAAAAAACCCAGAGCGCCTTTAGATGAGTTCATCAGCTCCTCCATCCGTCTTCTCCCTCCCTCCATCCGACCGGCGGCATCATCATCCCCTTCCCTTTCTTCCTCCTCCTCCTCCTCTCTCAGTTTGAACTCCTACATCCTTCCTCTCTGATTCTTTATCCCTCGCTCTTCCATCTGTTTATTTTTTTGCCACCATCCTGTAGCGCTAAAACAGTGAGGCAGAGATGACGATGAGGAGGAGGAGGAGGAAGAAGACCACAGATCTCCAACCATAAGAATCAAAGCGCTCAGGAGAGGAAAAAGACAATCCCTTTTGTAACAGATGAGGCTTTTAAATCAAAGGAGGTCTTCTCCACATTTCCTGTTACGGAGCCCGCGAGGGGACATGGGAGATTTTTTTTCTTTTGCATTCCCTCGCAAACGTAGTTTATTGGCAAACTCACATGTTCACCATTAGCGAGTTAGCCTACTGCTTTAATTCAGCTTCAGAATGAATTTATCACACAGCCACGCATGGAAGTATGTCATATGCCGATATTTTAACACAGTGCAGCGTCAACCACCGGATGTGACGCCATAACAACATGAAGTAAGAAAATAAAAGACCGAATCCTCCCAAGACCCTCCTCCCAGTCCTCACTCCCAATCTGCAAACCCAGTTCCTCCTCACACGAGACCCTCAAGGAGTTTGTGGTAAAATTTATTTGTTCTGCAAAGATGTCAACAAAGCTTGAAATTATTTTATTTGATTCTGGAGAGCCCAACAGCAGTTTGTGTATTTTTCTTCCGGAAGAGATACGAAACTCGGGGTGTAATTCGAACATAATTTCTAATTTGCAAATATCTGAAAAAAATCTGCATCTGGAAGAGAGAAACAGTCCCTCAACATTGCAAATGAAGCAAAATTTTTGTTGATATACAATTTTTTTTAGTATAATTAGGCCTTTTAGTCTCCAATTTTTAAATGACGTATCCAATAGTGATGGGGTAAAAGCATGGTTGCGGCAGATTGGGGCATGAACCAAAGTCTCAGGTAAGTTACAATAAACAATCTGTTTCCATATTTTCAAACAATTTAAAACAATCAAGTTATTTATTCCACTATTTGTAGGAGATATTGGTGCGGAAGGAAACTGTTCGTAACACTACTTCTTTCGATAACCACCCAAGTGGGGGAATCTGCAGATAGTTCTTGAGCATCACCTTCCTGCCAGTAAACCAAGGCCCTTGCATTCGCTGCCCAATATAGTGCTGAAAGCAGGGTAATCCTAATCCCACCATCTCTCTTGGTTTATGTAAGTGAGTTTTTGATATTCTATGGGCTTTAAAGCCCCAGACAAAAGACAAAATTATTGAATTCAGTGATTAAAAAAAGGCTTTTGTTAAAAAAATAAGGCAAGTCCTGAAAAAAGATATAAAAATTTAGACAAGGACACCACAAGTCCAGCACTGCTCGCAGGAGAGACAGTTTTCATTTAAAAAACGGGATAAAAACAGAAGTTTTACACTTGTGAATGTTAGTGAACTTAAAATTAGTGAGACTCAATTCAGCGGAAGCTAATCGTTCTGTTTCCAAAGTTAGCAAAACTGCTAAATGAGAAGCTAGTTCTGTTCCTACCACTGGTTCGCTTCAACGTAAACGTCTTTCAGAATCAGTGAAAACGACCTTTACAGCCTGACTTTAATACAATTTTGTTGGTGTTTTTGCTTTCAGAAGTATTTTCTGTGCTCATCATCTGGTAATAATGATTTGGATCAGCTCAGCGCTCGTTTTGAAGCGACACTGTTATTGTGTCGACACTTTGAGCCACATTTAATTAGAACAGCTCAAGTTAAAGACAAAATAAACACACTTTGTGAAGAGCGTTAAACTAACGGTACACATTTATCATCATTCCCGCTCAGCCTCCCGCACATAGCGAATGGAAGACGAAATAAAAAAGCAAATATTACATGTGAGACGCGTTCTCCAGCGGCTTCTCGACTCATTGACTCATCGCACATCCGGAGAAATAATCACTTCACACACAAGAGGCCTGTGAGATCAGCTTCAGTGGGCTTTTGTCGTGCTTCTCACACAAACTGCGATCTTAACATCCGAACACTCGTGATTCACTTTTTATTCCTCTACTAAACCCACAGATCACAGCTTCAGATGCACATTTCATAAAATACAAATCTAAAGCAGAAAAAAAAACTAATCAAAAATGGAAGAGAGCACACTAAAAGAAAAAAAAAGCAATCAGCTTTTCACAACATATTTCCCTGCTGAAGAAGGTCTTGATTTGTGTCACAGAGGAGGAAGAAAGTTGACGTTGCTCGTAGTCGATTGTATTCCAGCAACCAAATCTAGTAAATTCATCTGTTTAGAGTTTGCTCTTGATTGCTGCCTCTGCTGGATCTGACACAGAGAGAGAGAGAGAGAAAAAAAACTGTAAAACAAGTGAAGTGGACATTTAACCTCAGCCGTGAAGCAGTTGATTTGGCATTTAGAGCGGAATGTGTTAGCGAGGATTAGTCCTTCTCAGGCCAACGTGCGAGCGCACACATCAAACAGGAAGTCACGCCAGGTGTCGGCGTGGCGTTAGGTTTATGGAGGAGACTTGGAGGCCGTCCTGCAGCAGCTCCAGTCTCACAGACGGGACGGTTCCGGTTCATCTACCAGCCAAGCACCGCCACTGCTGCTGCAGAAACCTGCTCCACATCCATTACAGAAAATACCACACCAACTGCTCCCACACAGAGGCCTTTTAACGGGACAAACCTGCACTTTTACTGCAGAACCTCTGCAGCCAGGCGACAGCGTCATGCAGTAAAAGTGCTGATTTCATGCTTCAGTTGTAGGTTTGATGCATTTTTTTATTTTAGATTTTAGCAAACTGGCTGAAATAAAAAAAAGTGAATCTTTAAGTGCAGAACTGACAAATGACATGAAAAAAAAAAAACAAAGCCAAATGTTTAAAAAATGTGTACCAAATGTGCAAAAGTAGCTAATAAACATGATTTAAATGTTCAGTTCTACAAATACAGCATTAGCTTAGTTCTGAGTATCTTCCTTGAAAATTAAACTACACTGAATAACAAGGTTTAGCCTTTAAAAAATGGTTATCCTCCACCAACAACTAAGAAAATGAAAAAGACCATTTTATCTACCCCAACCAGTTGACAACAGCTAAAACCAAAATCCTATAAGCAGCAATGGGGATGGTTCTGCTACACAGCAGCAGATTAGCTTTTTCACTAAGTTTGAAAACAGCTAGCAGACCAATTACTTCCACTAAATTAGTTTTTTTTAGCTTTAAGTCTGATAACAGCTAGCCTGGTAAAAACCAGACCCTTGTCCTTCACTTTACTTCATATAAGTTCAGTCCATTTACCATTTACCATTACTTCGTACAAGGGTCTGGACTCTCGGCTAAAGAGAAGCGATTCTTGCTGGAGGGGTGGCCTCCGCTGAAGTTTGAAACAATTGGATCGGTTGGCTGCGACGTTTGTAGCCAGCTCCACTGTGAAGGAGGCTAAGCTAAGAAGCTAACCGGAAATTGCGTGCGCTGTAAACAACCCTACTGAGAGGAGAAAAGTACCGAGCCGAACGAGACGACTGTAAATGAGAGCTGCTGCTTTGTCAGACAATTTTACCGGTAATTTGGAAGCCTTATCAACACAAACTGGCTTCATTCACTTTCTCCACTGCCGTATGCTAAACTAACTTGCCGACACTGTGCAGAAAATCAACGTTATTCAAAACTCCGCCTTCTGTTTGCTGATTGGCCCAGGTAAAATAAACTACAAGCAGACACTGCGCAGAAAATTGACGTCGTTCAAAACTCCGCCTTCTGTTTGCTGATTGGCCCAGGTAAAATAAACTACAAGAGACACTGCTCAGAAATTTGACGTTCTCTTCTCTGATTGGCCCGGTTGAAAATTCTCCTGAAGAAATCCTTGTCTATGGGAGAAATCGCAGACGGAGCAGTGAAGGGAAACTAGAATTGAGCAGAACTGCGTAGGAAGGAAAGGGCCAGGCTAGCTAACATCAACAGGTTTGTGTCAGTACCTCCAGTCTTCAACTGGGAAGTGACGAAGACTGAGTGACAGTCAGCGATTTGTGTTAGCTTCTGTTTACTTATTTAGCCTTTGCTTACAGTAAATTTTTGAAAACGTATTTTTTTTCACGTTTAGCAGTTTAGCGTTAGATTATGGATTATGAGTTAGCAAAGCTAACTTTCTGGTTAGCCATGAAAATCACTGGCTGTAACACAGTTGATTTTATTAGATTTTTTTTACATCTTTCTGATTTGTTTTTGAATCCACAGATAACATTCCTCCTTACTAAAGAGGAGAGGCACCATCCAGTCTGTTATCAGCACACAGTTCAAAATCCTGCCTCACTGATGGTATGGGGGTGCATTAGTACCTCTGGCATGGGCAGCTTACACAACTGAAAATGCAGCATAAATGCTGAAAAGCATATTCAGGTTAGAACATTTGCTCTCAACGTCTTTCTGAATATTTTAGCAAACCGCAAAAGATATATATATATATATATATATATATATATATATATAAAATCTGATTTAACTTGGTGAGGTGATAAGTTTATTTAAAATACAACCTAAAACAAACCACCCAAATGCGTCAAGCTTACATTTTACAGTACATTATGATCGTTCCTTTTTTTAACTCACGCTTGTTAATTTGTTGTTTAATGTTTAAACACTCATAAGCCTTCAGTTCTTTTTATTTTGGCTTATTGTAAATTATTTTAATGATTGTAGTTTAATAAATAACTATATCTCTGTTTGATCGCATGGTTCTGTTAAAATAACTTTTCCTATGATGCAAATAGAAACGTTTCCTTCTTTCCTCCTACACAAATGTGTTCACATTTATTGTTTAGTAGATCCACACAGCTTTTTTCAGCTGCTCTCTTTATTGCCAACTTTAATAATCGGGCCTCAGTCTTTTTTTGTGTGTAAATTTTACAGTAACTGAATGTACACACAGCTTCATGAATCGTATACACATTTCTGTTTTTGTTGTTTTAGTTGATAATCTACAGCTTTCCTCACCTGACCTCTGGTATTTAAGCTGCTTAAATGCTCACCAGTTATTTGGTAAAAGTATTTTTTGGCAGCTTATTCTCATTTAAACTTTTTCTCGGTTTTGCCTAAAACTTAAAATCACCTTGTAATCATCTTAAGAGTGTCTGTTCAGCTGTTTCCAATCAACGTGAGCAGAATCTGGGTTTAAAGAATCACAACAGAAACGAGCCGATGGCTTTTCTAAGCTTGTTGTTAGTTGATGGTTCTGTGACTTGTTTTGTCAAGAAATAAAGTTGGAAATTTATATTTATCCAATTTTCTTTCCAAACTGTCAGACTTGTTCTTCCCATCGTCCTGCTAAAATTGAACATTTAAATGTTTTTACAAACAATTTTTAAAAAAGAATCAAACACCTGCAGACTGAAGGTTTTTAGTAAATCTAAAGATGTTTACTCTGCAGATGTTAACGCTCAATTCTGATGTTTTTGTTCAGATCTTGTGTTTTCTGTGAACTCGTTCACATAATTTAAATTCCACCTCTGTCAGAATCACGTGAACAGTCTACGGCTCTGTAAGAAGTAAATAGGCTCCACATGTTAGTGTGGATTTTGAAGTTATATAATCAGAGCTGACTGAGACACTAGCTGGGGTTGTAGACCATGTAGACCGCGGCCCACAGAGGCCACATCCTTTGAAGTCCGGTCAGGTTGAATCTAAGGGTTGTTTTATGAGACCGTCTAATCTTCAGATGACCTATGTTTGCGTGATCGTGAACAACCCCATGCTTTTGTTTTGTCTCACATCACCCATAAATGTCTAAAACTTAAAATGTGTTGTCCCATATATTCACTAGGGGTGCAACGATACAGGAAATTCACGATTCGGTTCGGTTCGATATTTTAGTCTCACGGTTCGATATTTTTTCGATACAAAAAAGAGAAATTTCTATGCCCCTTTTAACTTGTAATTTATTTATATTAATTATGAACATTTGTTTTACCTCAAAAGTACAGTTTTTAAATTAAATGTTGCTGAAACAGCAAGTTTCTCTGCGGACCTGCGCTCAAAATTACAGCCTAGGTGGAGTAGTCGAACACAGATCCACTGATCCTTCAACACAGAGCATCTTCAGAAGACAAGTTGATAAAGTAAATTTTTAAAATCTGTACGGTTCGATACGGATACATGTATTGTTGCACCCCTAATATTCACACGTCTTTTCAGGGGAGGTATAACTTCATAAAAATATTCAATATCTGGGCAGAAATAATTGATCTGGATCACTTCTGCTGGCAATGTGAATACAGCCCAACAACGCATTAACAGGGACTATTTTTCACAGTGGAGTAATCATCATTGTGATGACACAAAATGAACTCTCACCTCGTGATTCATCATCTCGTTGTGACCTGGCCACTCAGACGTTGTCATGTTACATTTTTATCTATAAGAAAGGGCTTTTTATAAAGCAGAGAACCGAAGCATCACAGTTTGAGATCTCATTATTTTTTAGCCATTGATCTTTGCCGAGTCCGGAGGAGGAAAATAAAGAGAAATCCCTCCTGGCTGAATCTGTCCACAAAACGAATCTTCGGCCTGAAAAGTTGCTCTAATGCTGAACAGGCAGCTTCTATTTTCTGTCCAACTCCACTTTAACTCCTCGCCTGTTGGGGCACGAAGTGAAAATCCTTATTCTACGCTGAACATGCTGCCTTGATCCGTCATGTAGAATCATCTCAGTTTTAGTGATTTACACCGATGCCACGAGCATTCTTCTGCTATTCACTCCCACATAAGCACGGGAAAATGCCTTTTTTAAATTAAAATAATACAAAAATGTTTTGTTTTAGTTCTCTGCTTTAGATTTTTAGTGTAAATTTGTGGTTCTACATATCTTTCGAGAAAAAAAACCCCTAAAAAGATCAATAAAAGTTGGAAATTATGTTTTGGTCACAGATTTTAATGTGAACAACTGAAGGAGATAATCAACCAAAGAAAAGACATAAAAAATAAAAAGGTGCACAAACAACAGGTTGTCACGTTGACGGCAGGGTTTAACCCCAGGACTGAAGACGAGGAGCTAACAGTAAACGTCTTTAATAAAATAAGTAAAATAGAAATGTTATTTTTTTAACTTTACTTACAGAAAAACTCAGGAGCAGAACCATAAGGATGAGAAATGAGGAAAACTGGACAGAATGTGAAATTTATAATGTCCCACTGAGGGAGAAACAAAGATCGATGGCCTATCATGTGACTCAAAGCCTGTAAGTGTAGTACTGTTCAACGATTATTAGACAACATGTTAAAATGCTGTTTCTATGCAGGAAATACCATGTAGAGCTCAGTTACTGTTTTTCAGTGGTGCTCAACTCTCCTGGCATATATGGACTGAAAGTTTCACTAACTTACTAAAAATAGAGCTTCGCTAAACCACTAATATTTAAAAACATTAGCGGAAAATAACCCAGAACATTACATACTAGGGAATATTATTTATTACAGAAGAAAAACGCAAACAAAACACCAAATTAACAGTAATTGTTTCCCTCTCAGCTGCTACTTGTTTTGTATCTGCAGCTAAAAATATATTCAGCTGTTATTTCATTTATTTATTTGATCAGTTATTGGCTGACTGATGATGTGATCCATTTTGTCTTTGGTTTCCAATGATTGTGAAAACAAGCCAATCGTAAATAACAGTTTATTGTGCAAAGTTCTGTTCTCTCATCGTGTCTCATAAAGTTCGTGCAGCTTTTTCTTCCCCCTCAGGCTGTTTTAGTTTGATCCAGTGAGCATTTCCAAAGAGATAACTTTAAATAATCCTCAAATTGAAAAAGAATTACTGCGATTAAGATTGTTTGTTGTAATTATCATGTCGGATTTAAACTAATCAAAGCAGAAAAGACAAAAAGAGCACGGAGACCTCGTTGTCCAAATGTTTTTTTTCAGAGGCAGGAGGTGAGCTTGATTTATGACAGCGGTAAAAGCGTCACATCAGGGGTTGAGACTGCAGTTGTAATACCAACGCTTAATTTGAATAATTGAGTGAATGAGCGATCATGCTCCGGAGCCACGCTGTTTGGCAATGTAACCCTATAAATCAGAGGCATAATCAAAACAAATGGGAGAAGTCGTCGTGTCACGGCGCGAGCCAACATGAAATCACATCAAATTTAACTTATTTACTAAACTTCATTTAACCAAACAGATTCATCTGCAGTGACAGCACGCACTTTTATTTTAACGTCTCTCATTTCTTACTTTAAGTGGGAAATCGGTTTCAGAGGCCCATCTTAAAATATTTGTTAGTAAATGCACTCGTTCTTGTCGACGCACCATGCTGGTTACCTGAACACCACGCTGCTGTCACAGGTCAAGCTATGGGAAAGGTGAAAATTAATAATAATAAATAAGCATAAAATGAAAAGTTCAGAATAAACTTCCAAGAAGCCAAATTTTCTTTGTTTAAGTGGAACAAACTGGTTGTTTTTTAAGCTCTGATGGTCGTCGTGTTTTTTCTTTGGACATTGGCTGCTTTTCCATCAGTTTTTATCCATGTTTCTGACCATTTTTACATGAGTGTTTATCAAATGAGATTTATCAAAAAGTAAAGACTGAAGACTTTCCTTTTTGATAAATCCTATAGTTAGACTTAGATTTCCTGAGTTATTCCTTAGTTATTATAATTAATTAGTCCTGCTGCTATAGGTATAGACTGCTGGAGGACAAACTGACCACATTTCCTCACTCTGCTATTATCTTTAGTCTCTCTCCTCTACATGTTTGTTATAATTACTTATATCAGTTGTATGTTTTCTTTGTCTCTCTTCCAGAGGAAAATACACCTGCACCAGTTTTGTGTTTGACTGTGTCTCTTTCCTGTCCCCAGTCCAGTCGGTCGAGGCAGATGGCCGCCTGTCCTGAGCCTGGTTCTGCTGGTGGTTTCTTCCTGTTAAGCGGGAGTTTTTCCTCTCCACTGCTGCCAGTGTACTGCTCAGGATGGGAGACTGTGATGAAGCAAAGATTTGATGCAGTCTGCTGGCTTTTTTAGATTTGTTTTTGTGTGTATGTGTGTGTGTGTGTGTGTGTACAGTGCCCTGAGACAACAGTTGTTGTGACTTGGCGCTACATAAATAAACTGAATTGAATCAACTCCAACATAAACATTCAGGCTCCTAAAATCAAAAGATGAACTGACAAAAAAAGGAAAGAAATTTGAAATTAGATTGAACATAGACATTTTGACAAAATTAATCCTTTATCATTGGTTGCCTTTAAAAAAGTATTTTCTTTTTAAACTATATTCTAGAAGTGTTTGAGGGAATCAGATTTTTTTAACAGGGCTTAAGATTGAGCCTACACCTCTTAATGTTGTTTTTATTGGTGTAATTTTACTGTTCTATTTTATTTTTGTTTTACTAGTTATATTATTCAGTGTGTTTTTGCTGAATTCATAAAAAAATGTCAAAGATAGTACTGTCTGACTTGTCTAAAGGAATTTCAGCACCAACAAAGTGATTTTTAAAAACTTATTACCTGCGGGAAGATGCTGCTCTCATGTCCTGTGTCAGGTCTTTACTAAAACATTTCCTTTTTCTTACAATACAGACTTTTAGACACTGTTCATCTGTTGATGAGAGGTATTGCATCAGGACAGTGTGCGCATTGATAGGATGAGAGATGCAAAGTGAGTGAAAAAGCAGCCAAAAACTAAAGAAAAAAAAACTGAATAAGTTTCAAGAAACTAGAAAAACTAGTGATGGAAATCACTTTGAAAAAAATGTCTGGCCCATTGGAAACAAACAATGTCTTATAAAGCTTCTATGCAGTATTGTAATGTAAATACTACTAGAGATGTAGTCACAGTGCTGAGTGTGCGTGTAACCCTTTCCCCATTTTAGGTACTTTAAATGCTGATTAAACCAACCCTGTTACGTTAAGTTATAAGGTTTGCATTTGGGAAAAAAACAGGTAAAAGTCAGGGCTGAGGGGAAACAGTGAAGCTACAATAAGCATGGTTTTCAATGGAATGAAAGCTGTTATTTTTTACTAAAATATTGCTTCAACACACATTTTCTCATATAAAACCAAACCTTATGATTCTTTTTGTGTAATCCAATACTAATATTTGCATTAGACAGTCTCAACTAACCAGAGCCAGTGTCACAGAGACAATTATGAATCAGTTAAATGACTAAAAGGACTAATTAGACCATTATCGTTGGTAAAGGCCGTGCTGTTTTCTATATATGACCAGCGTCTTATCTGCATTTAGGCTTTAAATGAGCTGCAGTGTGTGTTAATGTGTTTCAGGGCTCTGTTAACAGATGCAGAGTAAAATGTATGTTTATTTAATGTAATTAAACAGGTTTAAACGGGGCCACATTTACACAGTTGTGTGTTTACTGGCCTCCTGCATGTGTGAATGTGCTGGATGTGCAAACACACGGTGAATGATGAAGCCTATTTGTCACACCAGCAGTGTGTGTGTATGTGTATGTGCATGGAGCTTAATTTGACTGAGGCAAGCTGTTATCACTGCATAAAGACAAGTGTGTGTGTGTTCGTGAGAAAGACAACTCACCAGCAGGGAAGTAGAGCGGGAGGTTCTGCAGATATAGCTCCTTATCCGTCGGCAAGAACACACAGAAGATGACTCTGTCCAGCTGACACACACACACACACACACACACACACACACACACACACACACACACAC